GTTAAATATAAAAGTATCTTCTTTTTCCAATTATCCATATCTATTTTGTGCACTTCTACTTCCAACAAACTTCGTCTATGGACTGGCTGGTACAGTATGCGCAAACCTCGCAACACATCCTTCTCAACACACATTCCTCGCAACACATCCCTCGTACACATCCCTCGCTTGGTTTGGTATGCGCAAAAATCTAGCTCCGCTGAGCCGTTTCCACCAGAGCTCTGCTGACCGAGGCGAGGTAAATGAAGCGATTCTATTGGTTCTTTACAGACACATCCCTCGCTATGCATTCTCGCACATCTTTGGTGGAAATGCAGCCTTAATCTAAGATTAACCCACATGTTATTAACTTTTCATACAAACTGCCCAAAAAGAACAAACATTATGTACTGTTTTCAAGGTTCATAAAATGTGAGTTGCTATTTTTAAAAGCTTTCATTTTGCTTGCAATGTACCTACATTGCAAGTCTACCTACCTGGTAGGTGTTCGTTCGGGTGGAATCTTGCAACTCAATATTGAAGCAAATGTCTTCATTCGATGGAGCTGTTTTTTTTTGTTTTTTTTTATAGGTAGGTCCGACAAATGACTCCACCCCACCTGATGTTAAGTGAAGGTGAAGTCCAGACGCGAAGATAGCTGATACAGCAGTTCTACCTGCCCCACCAACCATCCTTTACCATAGATAAGTGATTGGTCTCGCTACGCGCCACTAGATGCCGCGCCAATTAACAAGGATGTTGTTGTATGTCAAAAATCGTGTAGCCAGCTGCTCGACTGCTGCCCAAGTAATAGGGAAAATATTTTATGCTGTGGTCAATCCATACTTACAATACTAATCACTAAATCCGTACTTAATATATATTATGTATTATTATTATATCATGTTAAGTATTTCTACTTAATATAGGTCCCTCAAACAGTTTTTTTGCAAATATACGTGATGCATGGAGGCGCGAATCCTACAATTTTATCCCGCTTGCATTTTAGTTAGTTTCTTTATTTTTATCCTACCTGTTAATAGTTTGGTTACAAATTCTTTTGAGGACCTCAGTGGTGTGAGTGCTATGTACGCCAGGTTTAAACGTAATGGCGACGGCCTATTCATAGGTCCCGGGTGAGAATCCTTGTGGGGTTCGACAACGAAAACGAGCATTTGTGCCTAATTCATGGATATTTATATGTATTTCTAGATTAATATCTATACTAACATTATAAATGTAAATGTGTGTCTGTCTTTCTGTTACCTGGTTACGCTTAAACCACGGTATCTATTTAGATGAAATTCGGCACAAAGATAGTTTGAAGCGTACATTGGATACTTTTTTTCCCTTGAAATCATCCGTTTAGGGCTTGACAGGGGTTGGAAGTTTGAGTGGGTAGTCAATTCAATCAATTCAAATCAATTCAAACCAGTTCTCGTGGATCACGCGCCAGCGTTGGACGTGTCAACAAGTACGTTTAAAAAATAATTTAAGTGATAAGGACACCGCTATACGCAAAACAAGGATCGGTGCATTGTGCATACGGTTACTCATAGTTAGCTCCACCCCTGCGCCGCTAGCGCAGGTAAACAGACCGCCCACAAAACTGAGAGTGAGACAACATAATGCATCGGACGCCAGAAAAAAATAAGGCTTATGGATCGGAGCCTAACATTCCGTCCATTCGAGACAAATGCCAATCTAAGCTGGATCAGTGGACAAATAAGAAAAAACGTAGGTACGATGGGGACACGGACAGTGATTCTAGTATATCACATGATCAAAACCGTAGAAAAATATCAGGGAACTAGATCAGTACTATAAATGAAAACTTAATTGCTTTTGGAAAACAAATGGAATCTATGAATCTATTGTAAAATTCTTTAACTCTTTTAAAGAATTTTACATCAAAATACTCGCTTTTTGCACTTGCAAAATGATATGTCAGAAATAAAGCAGCAATTTAGTGATATCAAAAAGGTTCAAGACGAAATGGAAAAATCAGTGGACTTTTTGGGGGCTCGGTATGGAGAATTAAAGAAGACTGATAAGGAAATTATAGAAGAGGTCAGAAAACAAGATAATAGAATTAAAGACCTATACCAGAAAAATATATACATTGAAAAATGTAACCGTGCTTTAGAAGAGCGTCTCAAAATCCGTTCAGCCATTTTTGCGTGATTGAATAACGAATATTAAAAACCAGTTCTATGAGAATATCACAGGAGTCTTATATAATTAATATATAAATATTATGTATTTTTATAATGGAAACTATTGTTAAATAAAACTAGTTTTTTACGGGTTAATGCACGAAACTTTATTTATTTATCCGTCGGTTATTTTATTCGTCGGATAAAAATTTGATTCCGACGACGTAGCCTGTAAAGGCTACGAAACGTCAATAAATAAATAAAGTTTCGTGCATCAACCCGTAAAAACTAGTTTTATTTAATGAGTGATGTGCGTGAAAACCTAAGAAACAAATAATTAACTATTGTTTTTGTTTTGTAGGTAATTTGTAACTAATTGTTATTCACGGGGACTCTGCCGACAAACTATTATAATAGTTTGGCAGATATTTTCATGTATAAACAATGTGTGTACTTAGAAAATCAATAAAAAAAAATCATGCAGACGAAGCATGCATCATTATTCTAACCGTTATCCTAGTATCTCATAACACAAACCACAGTGGTTACTTGGAGCTAGGCTAATAAGTGTGAGACTTTTGATACATAATAAATAATTCTATATTTTATTATATATTTTGTATCTTTATAACTTTTTAAAGTCACTGATGTCAATTCTGGCTTGATTCTCTAAACCTAAACTAAAATTTGACATCAGTGTATCCTTGTTAATCTATACAGAATAAAAAAAAACCTTAAATTTGGTTTTAAGTTTAGAGAATCATGCCAAAATCGACACTAGTGTTAAGTTGATTTATAATTATTATTAATCATGCAGACACTAGAATTTCAAATATTGTATATATATACACCGTGTTCCTGAGGTTATACACTAACTTTGGCATGTTATTCAGACTATTAAATTGATCATTTTTTACTATGGATTTATGAATTCCAATTTTTTTATCATTTTTTATTTTCATACAAACTAAATGCTTAGATGTAAATTATCTAATATGAATAACTCTTTACCTGAGCTGGCAACATCGTATTTGAAACCTTGGTTCACATGTCCACATAAACTTTTTGAAACTTTTCTTGACGTCAACAATGTTTTTTAAAATTTTGACTTTTGAAATTATGACTTAATGACCATTAACAAAGAGTTGATAGATTGATATTTTTGGTTGTTCAAAGTGGCAACATCTCACAGATAAAGACTCATTCTCACTGAACAACACAATTAAGTTGGTTAAACTTAAATTACCAATAACTTAAAAACTATGCTATTTAAACTACTACTTTCTTTGTACGATATGTTCAACAAGAGCTATAGAAGTATTATTCAAAGTTTATGTATATCCTCAGGAACACGGTGTATATCTAATATAATATAATCTATATGTCACAATGTTAGTTACCATACTCCTCCGAAACGGCTTGACCGATTTTTATGAAATTTTATATGCCTATTCAGTAGGTCTGAGAATCGGCTACTACCTATTTTAATACCCCTAAGTAATAAGGGTTGTCCACCCCTAACATTTATTTTTATTTTTTGGGCACAATTTTACTCTTTTATAATTAGGCATTAAAAATACATACAACCTTTTTTTTTGTCGATGGGAAATTTATTTACGCACCGTACCGCGCGCTGACTGGGCGCGCGGCGTGTGTGGGAGCCCCCGGCGCGGAATAACGCCGGTCCTACCCACTAAAACCCACCGGTACCCTCTTACGCCCATGTGGGAGCGTTTCAGGATCGGCTTCTGACTTCACTGCTAAATTTTCACAATTCTACCACCAGCCCCTATTTTTAACGGTACGAAATTCGCTGGGTCAGCTAGAATTATATATGCATATGTATAAAACTAGTTTTTACGGGTTAGATGTACTGAATTTATTTATTTATTGACGTTTCGCAGACTTCTCAGGTCTGCGTCGTCTGAATAATGATTTTTTTATTTACTTTGTCGAGTTACCTTCGAAAGACTTTTATTAAGCGTTCGGATATTTCATTGAAGGTTTTTAAAACTTTATTGTCTATGTATGAATTTATTAGCTAATTTAATTAATAAAGAACTTTATTTAAAATTATTTTTTGTAATTTTGAGTTTATTTATTTAACCCTAACTACCGTAAACTATCACAGTGGATCTCTGAGACGAACGCCCGCTCCGTGCCCTGGTTAACTGTGCGCACGCCCTAAGACCTATAAATGATACTTATATTGTAATAATTTGATGACATTTTCATTAAATTGGACATAAATAATTGTTATTTTGCCATTGTTGTTATTTCAAATTTTAACTGTTTAGCTACCTATCTCAGGATTATGAAAGGATCCTAATGACACACATATTTAAATCGGCAGGCGTTTAGAAGTTATGGTGGAATTAAGAATTGTACATACATACATAATCAAATCAAATAATTTATTGGATTCATGTGGTAGATTAGGGACAGAGAATACATGAACCCTGAAAACAATGCACTCTTTTTTTGGGCAGTCGTGTAAAAAGGTTTAATTCCGGCCGTGCAACCTCTAGTTGAGGAGCTCGATGGCGCGGGTAGTTAGCACGTTCGGCTGCGATCGTTAAAGTTAAGCAACTTTCGCAGTGGTCGGTCAATGGATGGGTGACCAAAAATTTTCTATCTCGAGTTCCTCCGTGCTTCGGAAGGCACGTAAGTCCCGGCTGCATCTGCAGTCGTTTGCACCCGTCAATCCACACTGGGCCCGCGTGGTGGGTCATGGCCCAATCTCTCTATTCCATCCATAGGAAAAGCCTGTGCCCCAGCAGTGGGGACATTAATAGGCTGATGATGATGAACCTCTAGTTAGTGTTGTAGACTATAGATTAACTGACGCGTGTTTCTATTCCCCAGCTCCAGTATGATGAGCGCCCGGAGCCTGAGGGTGGAGAACTTCTCCTCTCGCTGCACCACGCCGTCGGAGTGGCACGAGCCCACCCTGGTTTCCGTGAAGGTCGGCTGTCTGCACATCAACCCCGCCACAGCGTCAGTAACAATATTTAATAGCCCCGGCACCAATGTCGTAAAATACTCGTATATAGACAGGTTATACGCCAACATTGTTGTATTTTAAAATGGCACAAATAGTCTCTACCCCAACTACCCTTGACAACAGCTGCCAATAGAGCGCACTAAAGTAGTCTCTGACTTTTTGACGGGATCGGGAAGCGTCACATGCAGTGTTGGCAAGTGAAACAAAATAGCGGAAAGTGTCTTTTGACGTTCCCTCAAGAAGTCCATGGGGAGGTTTCAGTAAATCCCCACACTTTTACTGAAACATAGGGAAAGGGGGATTGACTTGACTGCCACTTACTTTGACTTGACTAATATTTTGACCACGAGTGCTATAGAATATGTAAATATTTTACACTTGACATTGGCTAAATGCACAAACCGCGCGAAGCCATATAGAAAAAAAAAAGTTTTCTCTTTCACTCTCATGCATAAAGCAGATTACATCGCGCACTTGAGCTTCCATGTGTCAACGAAAGTAATCTTTAAAACTTTACTTATGAATGAAATGACACGTTTTTCTTGTCTCTAATAGTTTCTGTGTAATTTGTAGTTTTGTTAAAACACTAAATGGGTAAAAATCAATACATTTACTATTTACAGTTTATTTAAAGGTTTTGTTATCGAGACGGAACCATGTTATCTAATCTAATAGGCTAAAATTAAAATAAAATTGATGGGTTTACTCAAACCTAATGTAATAAATGCATTCATCTTTCCTTAATTAAGGTAGTTGGACTAGCTGGACTAGACTAAGATACGCGCAGATTTTATATGAAGTTTCAATTATACTGAATTTATTAGTAAAGAAAGCTGTTTAAGTACTCGGGGCCAGCTAAACAATATGATATAAACTACAATTTATAGTCAAACTATGATTTTAGAAATAAATAGGTATCAAGAAATACCTTATCAAAACATCATGTTTAGTAATAGATGGAGTCGGAGTTTGGTCTATTTCTGTTATAGTGCCGAATGAACTGGATTGGGAATGGGATGACGGCTGAAACATGAATGATAAGTATAATATAGAACATGATTGCAGGTAATAATCTTTAAATAAAACTAGTTTTTTACGGGTTAATGCACGAAACTTTATTTATTTATTGACGTTTCGCAGCCTTTACAGGCTGCGTCGTCGGAATCAATTTTTTATTTAATTTTGTCGAGCTACCTTCGAAAGACTTTTATTGAGCGTTCGGTTATTTCATTGTTCGATTTTTAAAGTTTTATTGTCTATGTATGAATGTATTCCTTAATTTAGGTAATAAAGTACTTTATTTAAAAATCTTTTTTGTAATTTTGAATTTATTTATTTGACCCTAACTACCGTAAACTACCACCGGTTCCAAAATTGGGAGACCTTTCTGAGAAGAACCGGCGAAACAAACTCAAGAGAGGCTTTCTATCTCCTTCTTATGTTAAATTATGCCCAAACTACTTATTTATTGACGTTTCGTCAATACGTCACGTCAAACGTCAATAAATAAATAAAGTTTCGTGCATTAACCCGTAAAAAACTAGTGTTATTTAATGAGTGATGTGCGTGAAAACCTAAGAAACTAATAATAATCTTTAATAAACAATGTGATTTAAGAAAAGGGGTTAGCTAAATAATAAAGTCACATTTACTTGAAATTTGGTATTCATTTTCAACACAATTAATGAAACTGGTACACAGCTAATTGTTTCAAATAAAGAAATAATGCAAAAGGTATATAATATGGAATTGTTTGCTACGCCTTCGGTAAAACACACAAATTATTCTCTCACTTACTTATTAATCGTAATTAGTAAAAATAAATTACGTTATCAAGAATGTTTGCAGTGAACGATAACCGATCAAATCTATGATAATATTTTACTATATGGATAAAATACGGCGATTAATATTAAATGATCTCCATGAAAAAAGGGCAAAATAAACTAAATTTATTAACTAACAGAAATGTAAAACAACTATACGTCAGATCTATGGTAAACAGAAGTGTTAATATGTAGTGCATGCCATGAATATATCGACCTATGCATAGAATAAAGTTACATATGAAAATGTTATCAAATTACATTTATTACTAGCAAACCAGTGAACCAAATGTTCACCAAAACCTGATTTAAAAAAAAAAAAAAAAAATGTATTTAATTAATTGAGAACTTCGGAGATTTTGTGTGGTTTCGTTTGAAATTCGTGATTTCTCGAAAACCGGAAGTGCTACGCTACTCAAATCCGGTTTGTAGTCTTATCAGACTATTCTTAACTTATAACTTAAACATTCTCTTTATCTATCTCTTACGGTTTGGCCGCTGAAACAGCACCACAGACAGACGGACTTGTCTAATAGATAAGAGATACTTTTAGGCGAAACGGACGCATATATTTTACTGGTAAAAACATTTATTCTAAAACTTATATAACTTCGAAGATAGCAATTGAATAAAGGTACATGTGATTTTTGTTTCCGAAGAATATAGAGTCAAGAGCACTAGTACCTTTTGGATAGGCAAGAAAGCAGCCTGCACGGCTTCAATTTTGTTACAAACTGAGACTTTTTACTAAATGTTTGATTCTATTTTATATCATAATTTGACGCGACAGGACATTTTGTAAAACAAAGTTATATATTCACATAATATTGCCACGTTTCCCAAGCATAAGGTCTGATATGAATATATAACATAAAGATGTCCGTAGTAAATTGTCACATAATCACATAAGATACGCTTAAATAACAAAATATGAGCCGTAAATGTAGTTTTATTTTAACAATAAATGCGTCATAATTTGCTTCTCGATGCTTTAATGATTGGTAAAAAAAATCAAATGCTAGGAAAATACCAATACAAATTAAATCAAATTTTACATCTTACAAACTTCCAATCGCTCTACTGTAAAGTAGGGATTATGCAGAAGTAGCTTTATCATATGGATAGGTCGATATATTGAAGGATTCAAAGGTGATTTTTAATAAGACAATTTGGATTCTTATGCTTTCATTCGTTTATTCATTATTAAAAATTTATAGTTTTCATTCGCATGTATTTAAAAAGGCAGCAAAGGCAATACAGATATGGCGACTGTCGACAGAGATAAGTTTACACGTGCCGGTCGCCGATCATGATTCATCCTGCCATTACTTTAAAATTGGTGTGTGATATATTTAGATTTCTTAGTTCCATATGCATCTAATTTGCTAATTTTCGATTCAAGCAAAACTAGATTTAACACGTATAAAAAATGACGAATTGACTTTGGCGATTCACAATTTTCAATGTGTTGACTCTAGTTTTGGTTGAATCGAGATTTGCTGCTTTGCTGCAAGTGGGCCTTAAAGAGGCAACGTACTTCTTGTTAATTGTTTTACCTTTTTCTAGGATCTTTTGTGGCCGAGTGGTTAGTAGGTACGCCGAGTTTAAAGGTACCGCCAACTCGAGAGGGTTCGAATCCCGGTGGAGGCAGATGTTTGTGTGATGAATACGAGCATTTGTACTCCAGTCATGGATTTTTGTTATGTATTTCTATATAAATATACTTATATATGTATCACTATATGTATTTATCCGTTACCCTAGTAACCCTTAACACAATCCTACAGTGCTTACTTTGGGGCTAAGCTAATTGGTATGAGCGTTGGAAATATTTATTTATTTGTATTTATGAGAGAAATAATCCTACTAATTCCCATTTTTTCTTCTATTAATTTATTAATCATGGTTGAAATTCCGACGACCTCCGAGGCCGAGTGGTATCTACGCCGGGTTTCAAGGTTTTGCCTTTTAAGTCGTATACGTAGGATATATATATATATATATATATATATATATATATATACCTAGTCAGGTCATAAATTCTGTCACATGTTTAATATGAAATAATTGAAAGAAGTTTATTCATTATGTAACCATTTATATACCAAAATGAACTTAACAAAACATAGATTCTTATGACAATAAAGTTTATTCAAAATGACCTCCGTGATTTTGAATACAGGCCTTCAATCTGCGCGGCCAGTCGTCTATCGCAGCACGAACGAGGTGCATGTCAATATCGGTGGCTGCCTTTATCAAGGATGTCTTGAGTGACTCCAAATTGGGATGAGGCTTTGAGCACGCCTTTTCCTCCAAGTGTTGCCATAGCTCGTAATCTAATGGACTCAAATCTGGACTAGAGGAGGGCCAGTCTTCGTGCCGGATGAAGTCGATTTCTCTCAGATTTTCTCAGTCTTGTGTGCTCTTCGCTCTATGAGCTGGCGCCGAATCTTGTTGGAATACCCAGTGCCTGTTATTGAACACGGTATGAGAAACAGGTTCCACAAGGTTCGTCAGGACTGTATTTTGATACACAACTGCATTCGTTTTTACACCTTTCTCACAAAAATGTACCTCTGTTAAGCCCCAATAAGAAACTCCCAACCATACCATGAGCGAGGATGGAAAATGACCTCGTTGGACACGCGGAATACGGTTGCTCGCTTCTTCACTACTGTGTGCGTACACCTTATCATTTTGCTTGTTGTAGCTCTCTTCTACGGTAAAAATTTTTTCATCCGAAAAAAGAATTTCCTTATATTTTTTTCCCGCGTACCGCTTCAACAAAGCGCGGCATCTCTTCAGTCTCAGGTCCATCAGACGAGCATTCAAACGATGTCCTGTTTTTCTTCGATATGCCCGAAGCTCTAAGTCTTCATTTAACACCCTTTTCACCGTGGTTCTGCTTAACCCCATCTGAAGAGCCAACAATTTTTGCTTACGTTTGGGATTTCTTTGAATTCGTGCCTTCACAGCTTTTATCACTGCTGGAGTCCTAACAGACCGAGGGCGACCACTTCTTGACCTGTCATCTACATTAGAGTCTTCATTGTATCGTTTGATGGTACGATAAACGAATCTTTTGGTTATATTCAAATTTTCAGTTTGTCAAAAAATTAAATTAGCGCGTAACCGCAACGATGCAACGCAATAACTGCGACACGGTC